TTCACCTATGTCTTATCAAACTACTATATATATATATATATATTAACAGTATGGATAGAGGTCAGTATATTGCATATTTGTTAAAATTACATGTTTTATTTATACAAAGCTTACATGTATGCAATTTACTAAGATAAAAAGTAAAGTCCAACTAGAGTCCAAGTTTGAAGCATTGTTATTTATCTTGTGAGTTGAGATTCAGTTTGAAGATAGATGTTTCAAAGTAAAGAGCTTTAAACACTAATAACAACTAAAACAAAATAAAGTTTTCTATTCCAAAAAAAAAAATCAAAGCACCCATCATTCAATAGTTTAAATATTCAAATTGATTTGACAAAACTATTAAAGGTTTATCTTTCTATGGATGTGGGAGTATGGTGTTCATAATTTGGTTTATACCGAAGGTGCTAAACTAAAAGTTTCAGTCTCCCTCAATCTAATCGTGATCCAAATTGAACATACCAAAATTTTACAAAATAAATAACTTACAATTTGTGGTTAGTATTAGATGAATTATTGTTGTTTTATTAATTTTATTAATTATGCCTTTAATAAATTATTATAGTTTACAAATTTGTTGTTTATTTAGTTTTATTAATAATTTTTTTAATTAAAAAGAATAGTTTAAAGAATTGATCCAACTCAATTTGGTTTAAACCAAATACATCTTAGTTTGAACTAAGTAGGATAAATTTTATTATGCTCAAATTTATCGGAGAGTTAAGCACTTGGAAATTGAGAATTATTTTTTTCATAAGGAAAATTTTGTACGTCAATTTATAATGTACAATTAAGCTTGAAATAAGAGATTGATTTGCTCTAAATTAAGAAAAAATTTCACATCTCTATAATTTCTAAACTAATAGAGTATAAATATAAAAAAATTATGACTGTATAATCTTTAAATTAATTGAGAAAATATTCCAACACTCTCCCTCAATTTGGTATATGTTGAGAAAAATTAATATCTAAAGCATGCACAATCATACCAAAGTAAATAGCACAAGGTTTTTAAGTTATTCGACAGTGCGACTACATCCATAGGTAAAACAGACAAGAAAGTATTTCACCATGTAATCTTATAGTACATCACCAAGTTTTTCACAAATAAAAACTCTCTATGATATACAGTAAATATTTTTCATGATAAATACAAATAAAATCCACTTATCCCCCATAAATATCACCAAGTTCTAAGATACATCAATAAATCTTCCCTTTAGCTTAAATTCTCTCTATCATCAAAGCAACTAACCGTCTTGTTGCATGCCCCCACTGGGGTGCTATTGAGTATCACATACTCCAGCCAAGTCTAAGTCGCACCTAAACTTGTTATCTGATCCTTAAACTAAGTAACATCTACCATCAAGTTCTTCACATACAACACTAATCATCTTTTATGCATCTGAACTCTCCGGTTCCTGTAAATCAACTAATGCTACAACTGACAAGTTATATACAACCAGATTCTCATACCTCTGTGGTCGTCTAATATGTCTTTTCTCTCTGCCTGTGCAATACTATATGGTCATCTACTATTGGACTGAGCTTTTAACTCTGCTTGTGTAACGTCCACCCCTTTTATTTATGAAAAATAAATAAAAAAATTGGGAATTAGATTTAAATGAAAGAATTTTAAGAATTTTGGGGATTTAATTAATTTTAAGGATTTAAATGAAAACAAGTTAGGAAAAATGGGGGTGAAAGTATAAATAAGTGGAAGTGGAAAGAGGCAAAAAGAAAATAAGGAACGGACAGTCCTGATTGAACCGTCTGAGAAGATCATATGGCTAATATTTAATGAAGAACAAATGGCCCAAATCGAGTTAGGAAGATCCAACGGTTGGGAAAATGGGTATAAAAAGAAAAAGTTTAGGGTTTCTCCTCATTTGTAAAAGTAGCCAAAAAAGAGAGAATATAAGAGAAAGAGTTAAGCTGATCGGGTGAGAGGGAAGAGATGAGACTATCGCGCAGGAGAAGTTGAGAAGAATGAAAAAAGAGATGAAAAGAATAGGGAAGCCGAAAAAGAAGAAAGGAAAAGAGAAAAAAAAAAGAGAAGAAAAGAAGAGTGGTCAAATGGGAAAGAGAAGGGGAACCGAGAACGGTCGCTACAAGGGAAGAAAAAAAGAAAGAAGAGGGAGAGGCAGAGACGGGAGAGTGGTGGAAGCCAAGCCAAAAGGAAGAAAGAAGAAGAGGAAATGGCTCGAGATCGAGGCAAGCAAGGTGTGAAAATCGTCACTCCAATCCCAAGCAAGGGAGCCATGGGGTGGTTGAAAGGAAACCACCAAGAGCTAAACCGAGGCCAAATTGCCCCATGTAAAAAATGTAAAGCATTTTTTTGTGTTTTTAGTGGATGTTGAGTGGCAAAAAAGTAGTGGTTGGGTGTCGGGTTGGCTGCGCGAGCTCGATCTAGCCACCTACCCACTCGGAAAC